ATATATATATATATATATATATATGGTTCCTTTTGCTAGCGGGCCCCTGGAAAACGGAGCGATTTCCCTCGTCTATGGTGCCCTACACTACTGGGGTGATGAGTAAGCTCGTCAAGCTTCCACACCGTCCTCCACAAAACGCAGTAGTTCTTGACTTGCTTTTAGCCTAAGGGCTTCTTCTGGACAACGCTGCAGAATAGGGCGTCCCTGCACTGACTGCTTCATCTCCCTAGTTAGCTGCAGCACAGTGTAACTGCTGTAGTCGTACCGGCGTGCACTGTATTGCAGTATGCTGTATTGCATAGTCCACTAGACTGCACGATCCTTCTAGTGCACGGGAATAGCAAATGTTGTGAGTAGTTCGCTGAAGCATACAGCACCGTGTTTCGTCCCACTGTAGTGCACACGACGGTGTACACTACAGTCCCGTATTGATATTTGTGCCTCTCGCCACTCCAACTTGAGTCTGTCTGCATGACGAAACTTACACCTCTGCTCTGCTCACACTACATTGCGCTAAAGGTCCACGCAGCGTCGCATTTGATATCCCACTGGTGCAGCTGTATGGCTGAGGATTGTTTTCCCCTGCACCCCGGCCAGACCCCCCGCAGGCGCCCTGATTATCATTTGAGCTGCCGTGCTACTGCTCCCCGTCCATCCCCTGCACTGCACTGGCGCAATGGTGTGCGGTCTAACCCGAAACCCCCGTCGTCCTGCCGATTATTCTTGCCCAAGCGGAACTAACGTCGCTCGAAACTGAAGAAATTCAACTGTTCGTGCCTCTGTAGCAAATCTACCACCCTTACCAGCCAAAGCAACACAAACAGCAGCATCAACACACCCTCTAGAGAGGCATACAGTGACCATTCTGTCGACAAAAAGAATCTGTTTGGTGGCGACAAATCAGCAGGCGGACCTGTAAACTGTTCCAAGGGGCCCTTCGCAACGACCCCACGGAGCTGGGCCCCGAGGTATGGGTGGTTTCAATGTGGCAGACGGCGCATATCTTCCATTTATCCCGAGTAAGCAAACTGCGGTGCCATCACCACCGGAAGCTGCCATTACAGGCCTGTACATAGTACGTACATTGCAGCGCCCTGACGTACTATGCGAAGCTATTTATCAACACAATGAAATTCGTCAATATGAAACCACACACCTGTGCATAAACCGTTATGTGCACCACAACCGGCCACGCTGAATGCGTCCTGCCCTCCTTCCTATCCTGCAATTCTCGACGCAGTCGGGACTACGCGGTTACGTGAAGCTCCACAGAGCTTGTCTTCATCCCTGGAGTTTCGGGCCTAATGAATAGCGAGGGCTTATAAATCCTGCGCGGACTGCTGAAAGAAGGGACCTAAGCCTGCTGGCACTCTTGGCTCTCCTCCGCAGAACTCCTTGTCGATACCAGCTTCTCCCATCTGTATTTTGAAGGTGCCTTTATCTCCCCAGTATTCGTTCCAGCTGTTGACGGCTAGCCAGTATTCCCTACCTTCTTCACTTCCAAAGCCAATCACTTTGATTGCGTGGCCCCCCATGGGGCTTCCTGTAACGTGGTGATACACCCCCTTTTTGTAGAGAAGGAAGTCTTCAAACACTAAGAAGGCCCCTGAAAGCGTCCCGTTCTCCTTGAGTTCCTTCTTGATGTGGTCCCGGCCTTCAACGCTGTATGAACTGGAGGCGAAGTGCAGATCGTCTTTAAACGGGCGCACTTTCAAGCTGTAGTCCGCCTCCTCGCAGTCCTTCCTGCACTTGGGAGTCTTGGGAAGGGGCCCCTCGCACTGGGGGTACGGCCCGTCGGAGTGGTGCTGGCAGAAGGGTACTTCGTAGGGCCAACAGCTCTTGCCCTTGTGTAGCTCATCAAAGTCGCCACCCGTCACCACCCCATCGTTTGAAAACCACCGCCATGCCATGCGGGGCTGCCCCCCATTGCAGCCGAAGGACAAACAGTGCAGCAGATCGCAGCACGATGTAGTGTGCTGCGGCGACAGCATTTCCAAGTGCTTGCCTCCCGTCTTGATGCAGAAACGGTCGTTGAGAGCCTCCGTGCTAGCGAACGCCCAACAGGAGCCACAATCTCCCTGGTCTCGCACATGCCCTATGATGTCTTTGCAATCAGGAAACGCCTCCCGTGCGTCAAAGTTCGTCTCCTCCTCCTGCTCAGGCGTCTGCAGTTCGAACTTCTTCACTGGCAAGGGGTCCCCCAAAGGTACAGCAGGCTTGTCAGGATCTTCGTACCAACTCAGATACGTGCCCATCAACCTCTTCGCATCCTTAATGCTGTGGTACTTGAAACGCGGTGAAACCTCTGCTTCCCAGCTAACCGCCAGCTCAGGGTCTTTCCCCTCCTCGGCTGCTGCCAACTTCATGCGCTGCATCTTCATCCGCAAATGCTGCAAGGCCCCATTGCTCACGGCCGGACGACTATTCCAGAACTCACCCTCCGCTAGCGTCTTCAAGACTGGGCCGTGGAGAGGGGTGTCTGCACCGCTGTGCTCGGCTGCCCCCTTCACGAGGTCGTTCACGTGGCGACGGAAGTGATCTCTCCACAGATTGAGTGCTTCTTCGTCTCTGAGGAGAAATGGCAGCAATTCGTGTGCCTCCTCCGGCTCTCCCTTCAACGCCCGCCGGCAACGGGCCCCAGTCTGCCCCGCTGCGTGTGCCTCAGGCTTGCCGCACCGCTGCAGTGCATGGTTGTTGGTCAACTCGTGTTTTGCATCCTCAAGAATCCTCGAGAAAATAACGTCGATGGCGGCGCCTAGAGAGTGAAGCCCACCGCTATCAGGAAGGCCTTGAGAGCTCCCGAGCACTGTACCAAGGCCGGATATCCCCACAAGGATTAAGAAGGAAGAAAGCAGGCTAGTCATTCCCATCCTGAAAAGAGCGAAACAGAACGAAACAGAACAGCCTTTATGGAGAAGCAGCACTACAAACTCCAACAAACCCCCCAAAAGGCGTGTAGTCTGCCAGAAGCGCACCTTGTTGAACCCCGAAGACGGTCCGCGTCACGAACCGCTGAAGAAGTTTCTCAAGAAGTCCGTCGATATAATTCTCGTCTGCCACTTAACTGAAGGCAGAACCGAAGTCAAGCAAAAGAAGGATTTCTGTTGAAGAAGAGAAGACCGAGGCATGCAAGTTCACCACTCCTCAGTCCTATGAAGGAGGATGATATTCGGAAGCCAGAAAATACGACTCTCTGCAGGACGCATAAAAACAAAGTTACGACGACGATCAACCATAAATAAACCCGACGGTCGCCCTGTAGATTCAACAGCAACAGCTTGTACTTCCCTTGCCTCCTACTGTCTGCCGCGAGACGTGTCAGTGTGTGGTGTGCTCCTGCACACTGCGTGCTCGTCACCACTTACGGTGGCAGACGTCAGTCGACGTCCAGCTCAATTGATGCCCCTTAACATGTCTTAATAAATTAGAATTAGTAATGGCTTTCATCGTACGCATAGTGGTGCTGTTTCTGTCCGTGGAACGGCCTATTAGAGCCTGACGGCCATGCGCACATGCACGGGTTGTCGTCGCACTTAGGATCGCAGAATTCCCCCGTATGCCTCGTTCAAATGTCTCCAATTACATGGACGCAAGAAGTAGCAACGTTGGTGCTAGTTCCCGGGCTGGGCAAGGCCGAGGAAAGTGTAGCATGGGCATGGCAGCATTGTAATGCGGTCAATGCAAAGTTGGTATATGAACTCTTGGTTGGCCTCAGTGAGCAGCGTGCATGCAAGCAGAAGCGCAAAAATTGCCTTTAGTGTTGGTGTACGCAGCAAGAGGGGATGTGGCTGCGCCTTCATGCAGAGGCGCCCTGCAGCAGTGGTTGTAACGAGGTGTGTTGCAAATTTTGAGGGGGTGGTTGCTTTCCGCGGGGCAAGGCCCCAGAGCTTCTGTGCTCAGAATGGTTGTGGGCTGTAGAGGAGATTAGCGGCTTATTATGAGCACGTCCATCAGGTATGATAGCTGATTGCAGCTGGAGGCGGCCTTCGCATAAAAATGCGGATTCCCGTTACACGCATGGCCTGCCTGAAAATGATGCGAGTACTTCTACTCGCGTAAGGTGTGACTGCTGTGAGCCAAGTGTGTGGTTATGGTCTACAGCGTTGTTGGCTGCAGTGAACGGGGTTCGGATTTGCTTGATGTGTGCTTGCAGGTGGAATTGGCTGGCAGAAGGGGTTGAAGTAAGGCGTTCTGAGCCTCGTGACGCGCCGCCTTGTCTCTGCACAGTCTGCCGCTGTTCCCTAGACCGCTGGAAAGGGAGAGCGGGGCCCAGCTACTTCTCCGAAACACCTTTCTAAATTATTTTGACTCTATCGCAGCTCACGATGGTCCTCTGCTCAGAAGGGTGGCAATCCTCACACTTGTTAACGCGGGGTTCTTCATCAAGATAGGCGCTAGCAGTGAACAACACTCGAGCAGCTGGGCTGCCTGGTGTGTATCGGTGATTGGTATGGAAGGTGCCTTTGCACAAAAATTGAAGAAAAGTCCATAGAATTCTCTCTCACACGCTTGTCGACAATTCACCCCCTTTGCCGTTTCACGGAACGGAAATTAATTAGGATCTGCCCTTTGTTGGTGAGGCAGCCAACTTCTGGGCGCTCTGCTGCATTGGAAACAGAGCACTATCTGCATCACGTCCAGCAAAAAAGTTCTGAACTCCAAGAACTCACTTGCCTTTCGGTTCCTGAACTGATATGGGTGTAAACATCCGTTTTACCAGTAGTCAGAGGCTGTGGTAACATTTACTCTGTTGTGGATAGACTCTGCAAATATGCCCACTCCAGCTCCTTTTCGTCTTCACTTCCAGCCGAAAGAGTGGCCCAACTCCTCAGTAGTCGTGCCTAGATGCTCCACAGGTTTCCAAAGGGCATCATTACTGACAGGGACCCAAAGTTCTTCCTCGCCTTCTAACGCTTTTTTATGAAGCCATTTTATACGGACAATAGCGTGACCACCGCGAAAAAGCCGCAGGCGGATGGTGAAACTGAACCGTTGTCAACGTTTCCGCAAGTAAACAGAGAGGCTATATGAATAATGTGTATTTCTACTTTGCAAAGGACCTTTACCAGTCCATACTGCTCAGTTGCTGTAAGCCAGGCTCCACTGCTGTGGGCATAGTGTTTTCTGTTCACAGCTACCGCTGTGGCCAGTGCCGTACCACCATGCCTAATGAGGCTGCAGTAGAGTCAAGGAAATAGAATGATGGCTGCAAACCCAAGCAGCCAACCTTCCTTCCAGCCCGCGAGCTTCCTGGGCACAGCGGCTTCACAGCGTCGCGCTGGTGCGGAGAGGAGGCAGCCTGTCATTGAATGGCAACGCATCTCGCTACAACTATTGCTGCAAGGTAACCCTGTCTGCAAGCTCAACCACGCCTACCTTTCTGCATGGGGCAACACTGTGGACAACTGTTGACAGCATGCGTGGCCCTCAATATCTCTATTGAGGGCCAAGCATGCTTTCAACAACTGTCTGAGCCTGTACGCAAGTATAGAAATACATGTATAAGCCCATCGCCCCCCCAAGGCCCCGGCCATGTGGAGAACGCCGGAGGACTTGAGGGTAGATCCGCCGCATTCGGAAATTCTCCTCAAAAGGGATTTTAAATTTATTTATCAGGACTGTTCTCTGCTGAGATCGAGGAATCGTTACACCTACTGCGCTCACAGATCTCCCCTGCCACTCGACATGCCAATTTACAAACGACAGAAAAGAGCATTATTTGGGTTTTAAAAAGAGCTACAGGTTTACTTGTGAACTAATATAAATCTGTAATTGTATAGTCCCTCAATGCAGGCGCATCTCGGCTATGAGTACCCACTGGGGGCCCCCTGAGGGCCCCCCCAGTCCAAGCGATTGATGCATTGTATCGACTTCATTCCAGTAGTCTCGATTTTTGTTTACTTCATTTAATAAATTATTAGAATCCTTCTTTGAATCATCCTACGCAGAAACCAACAACCTAGGGAGAATGGAGAGACAGGTTTAATTTCAGGGTCCAATCGTTCGTTGCCTTGCTCGTTTCTCGAGCTTATAAAGAAGTCGTGAGAAGGGATAAATAAGTGACGTTGCACAGCCCTTCCATATGTCTCCTTTCTGTTTAGAGCTGGTCAATACACTTCAAGCATTGCGATGGATTGGTTTGTTATTAGCGGAGAGTTTCACTTGAGGCATGGCGATGGATTTTGTTGCGTTTCAAAATTGGCTTCTCTTCTAGTTATCTTTCGCCCTCTCTGAATTTGCATTCTTTTATCCGTTGAAAGAACGGCCTCAAGATTCCGTTCCTTTTCAACAGCTTTCTCATGCTGCTGTGTGTACATACAACAACACTGACCCGGCGGTGGGGTACCCAGCAGCCGCTAGCGCCTCTCAGCACTTCCTTCGCTGGATTTTCCCACTTCCCTCTTGTCCCAGTGTCTCTGCTTCGTCGGTACTTCGCTCAGTCTTTGCCGCAGGAACAGCAGCAGCGGCCCTCCAAGCGAAGTGTTTTCGCTGCAGCACAGCCTTCTGCGGCAGCAGATCGCTGTACTTTAGCCCCGTCCTCCCCCGCCCCTATTCCTACCACTCCACGCACAGAGCTGCAGCATCTGCAATTTTGGGCTCCCCGTTGCAGCGTTCATCCTTTGGAGCAGCTGTTGCGCAAAGGGGGCCCCCACGAACCATGGATGCCGCTGTTGCAGGAGACCTGCAGGGGCCTCCCAATTCCTAAACAACGCGTGTGGGGTGATTCTTACAGGGAAATACAGCTCAAGGCGTTGCCGCGGCCACTACGACTTGAGCTTACTGAAAGAATAGAGGGGGAGACGGCAGCTGCGCTTGCTGCGGAAGTAGAGGGAAAGGCAGGAATTGGAGCAGCAGCAGCTTCCCCTCCTGTCCTTGCCGAGCCTGGCTCAGGTGTGCGTACACCCTCCATACCACGGGAAGTCCTCCTGGGACTCTCTAGAGCAGCGAAGATCACTCATTTGCTGCCGCTGCAGCAACTCGCGCTGCCGTTGCTGCTGCAACCCCATACAGATGTGTTGCTCGCTGGGCCTGCGGGCTCAGGTAAATCTGTTGCAGCAGCACTTTCGCTCATCTGTCACCTGGCGCAAGAGTTAGAGGGTCCCTCTGCCGCTTCTGAAGGCACTCGTACCACTTCAGGGGGCCCCCCCGGAGCGCCGGAGAGCCCCCTGGAGCCGCAAGATGGGACCTCTTTCGGGGCCTCTGGGGGCCCCCAGGATGCGTCAGTCGGATGTATACGCGCTTTATTTATAACCCCAACTCGTGATATGGCGGTGCAGACACGAAACTTGCTGCAGGCGCTGGGTCGGTACACCGGGCTGCGCGTGGAGATGTTGGTGGGGAGGGGCCCCGGGGAGGCGGGTGGTGGGGGGGCCCCCTGGGAGCGTTTTGGGGCCTTGTTGCATGCGCGGCCTCAAGTGGTTGTCTGTACACCTGGGAAGGCCGAGGAGTTTGTTTGTTTTCTGCTTGCTGCGAAACACAAAGGATTAACGATGCCTGGCCATACACCCCAAGCAGTGACACCTGGCGTGCTGTCTAATTGCAAGTTGCTCGCGGTTGAAGACGTAGCGCTGCAGCTGCATGAGCCTTCCATGCTGCGGACTCTGGCGAAAGTGAAGGAGCTGCTTCCCATGGGTGAGCTGTATGTACGCCTGAAGAGAAGGGCTCTGTGTTCATTTCTGTGGCAGTAGTAGCCTTGGGGTGTATGCACAGGGGAAGGCGGAAGCACACAGGAGCAGCAGCAGACTCTGCCCTTCTTCTGCATCTCTCCTTTTCTTCTGTGTTGCAGCTCATAAGTCGATCCTGCTGTCCAGCAGTTTGTCTTGGGAAGTTCGGGGCAGCGCCTTGCGGATGATGCGTCTCAACTCCTTCTGTCTAAATGCAGTTGAGTGCTGCGACGCCCTCACGGCGGCTGCATTGGGGGCCCCCGTGCTTCCTGCAGCGCCAACGAGGGCCCCCCTACCTCTACAGGGCGACAATTATACGGCTTCTTCTGAATGCAACGCAGAAACACGAAATAAACCAGTGGCTGCAGGGGGTGCGCCAGGGCCCTGGTGGCTGTTCGCAAAGAGAGAAGGGCTCTTCACGAGTGATGCATCGCCTTCTTCCATTACGCTTCCATCTGACGGACAGCATTCCGAGGGCTCTCCTCCCAGGGAGCCCCCTCCAGAGATGACCCCATCTCAGGGACCCTCGACTGAAGGGCCCCCACATGAGGGGCCCCAACCTGAGGGCCGCCCACCTGAGGGGGTCCCACTAGGGGACCCCCCACCTGGGGGGCCTCTGGTCTCCTGCGATGTTTTTAGGGGTCGTGTGAATGCCGGGCGTATACTGGAGCTGACGCATCCGCATGCATTGTGGGGCCCCAAGCGCAGCGAGGAGTTTATTCGAAAGAAACGGTTTGAGCTGGGAGTGGGGGGCCATTTGAGTTTGCCGGTGATGGACAGTCAGGAGAGAGAGGAATTCGAGGGCCACGAGAGGCCGCTGGGGTTAGGGGGGGAAAAAGCGACAGGGACCCAGCGCTCACCAGAAGAGTTTGTACTGTACCCGCCGGAGTTGCATGCACATTTTCTGTTTAATATCTTTGCGAGAGAGGCAGCCGCTGCGCAACGGGGTGTACGTGCAGCTGAGAAGAGGGGCGTCGAGGCTCCCTTTAGAAGAGTTTTCGTCTTTTTCAACAGCACGAAAAACTTGCAGTTTCACTACGCGTTTTTCAAGCATTACCTCTTTCCCAATGTGAAGCAAATCCTCGATGCGCAACTGCAAAAGACAAACAGGGCACAACTCTGCTGCAGCAGCACCCGAAGCAACAATAGCAACAGCAACAGCAGCAGCAACAGCAGCAGCAACAGCAGCACCAGCAGCAGCAACGCTGCTGACGCGACACGTGTGGAGTTGTTGAGGGCGAGGCCCTGGTGGCCTGAGGGGGCCTCACTACCTCTTCTGTTCGCCCTGCACAGCCGTCTATCACGAGAGAAGAGAAGGGCTGTTGTTGATGCATTTTCTGACAATACACCTGAATTCATAAACACGAAAAAAGAGACGAGGCCCAAAGGCCTTAAAATTCTGTTCTGCACCGATGTGGCAGCGGTGGGGGTGCAGCTCGGCGCTCCGTCCCTTCTTCTGCAGGTAAAGAAGATAAAAATAACATCACAAGTCTCATTAGATAAAATAAGTACATACAAAGAACCGGGAGTAGAGACACCCGGTAGCATATGTAGCTGGTATTATCCAAGCACATATGCATATGCTTTGCATATGAAGATGTAAGAAACAAGCACATGCATGCATAGGCTGTTTATTTATTACGACAGGTATTGTGTATAATTGCATGGAATTTGCATGGAAGTTAACAATCAAATGAAGGAGGGATTTGACAGACTGTTTGTTTTAACTTCACAGGTTGGGGCCCCCAAAGACACGGACCTGTACGTACAGCGGATTGTAAGATCCCCCAGGTAAACCATGTGTTGCTTTCATTGCTACTGCACTTGCTTGCTGGTGCATCTGCTGGTAATGCTACACCAGGTGTTTCTACTACAGCTACAGCAGCTGCTGCAGATGCTGTTGCTGCAGCTGTTGCTGCAGCAACGGCTGCAGTTGGTAGGGTTGTCGCTCTCGCCATCAGCACCACCATTAATACGCAGGTTCTGCATGGACGTTCTGCCGTGTAAACGCGCTAGTATAAGGGCACATGAGTTCTATTTTTAGGGGGTGTAACAGATATATGTATATATATATATATATATATGCATGCGTATAAGTATGTATACATACAAATGGCTGCATTCATGTATTAATGCGCCTATGAATGTACGAGCACTTGGCATTATTGGGTTGCATGCTTTTGTCTGCTCCTTCGTACCCCTTTTATTATTTTAGCTTTTTAATTGTATTTCCTCTGTGGCTTACTATGGGTTTGCTGCCCCATTGGTCATTCTGTCTCGTCGTGCGAACCCTCACTGTTGTCTTTTGATGTCATTTGTCTGCCAGCTATTTGTCGTGCAAATATATTATTATTATTATTATTATTATTATTATTATTATTATGAGTATTAATATTAATATTATTATTAGCTGACTCTACTTGTTGGTTGCATGCGTCTGTTTGGCGTTTGTCTCATTGGCAGAGGGGGGCGTAAGCTGTTGGCGTTGAGTGATTTAGACGGCCATTTTTTGTTTGAGGCTTTCAAAGGGAGTCTTCCTTTGCAGGAGTTGTCTGCTGCGGAGGCTCTGCAGTTGCTGCAGCCCAACCTTTTGTTTGCTGCTGCAGTGGGAGGAGACGAGGGGACTCAGGCGTACAAACACGCGGCTGGGCGCCTCGCCTCTGCTCTCTCACCAACCCACACGAACAACAATGCACAACAAACTTCAGAGGCAGATGATGCTGCTGCTGATGATGATGCAGTTCTTGCTTCTGCTGCTACCACTGCAGCTCCTGCTGCTGCTGCTATTGCAGCCCCTGCTGCTGCTGCTGCAGCTGCTGCAGCAGAGTCGAATATGGTGTCTGTCGCGGGTAATAACACTGCAGTGGCAAAGTCTACATCAGGAGTTGTTGTAGATCCTATTTCAGCACCAGTTCCTGCAGCAGAACTCCAGAAGCTTTCGTTACGTACAGGTGGGGAGGAGGGGTATATGAGAGGTTTCCAGGTGTCTGTACAGTCTGCTTCCGTCATAAGTACCCCACAAGACTCTCGAGAATGTTGCTGCGCTCACGGAAAAGCCCAGCAGGGCTTCCAGGAGGGAGCCCACTTCCTGAGCCTTCGGGAGGGAGGCGCTGAGGAAGGCGGTCTCCTAGAGGGGGACAGCGGGGGGGCCCCTCTGGTGGGGGGGGCGCCCCCTCCCGTTTGGGAGGAGAACGAGCCCCTGAGAGCGTCTTGTGAGTTGATGTACCGGTCTTTGGTGGGGTTGTATGCCATGCAGTCAAGCCGCCTTAAATACGAAAAGTACGGCCAAAAAAGCAATTTGATTTTACCAAAATGAACGTAAAAAGGGGAAGAGAGGGTCCCGCGGGGGAGTGAAGTGCGTATTTATTTATACTTGTGTGCATTTGTAAGTTTGTGTGTTCGTCTATTTGCTTCACTGCTTGCACATGCACATGGGAATTTCCTCATTTTGCCGTTTTTTCGTGTTTGTTTCATTACTCGCAAATGATAATTTATTCCTTATGGTTTCTCTTTCTCGTTTGCCATTTGCAGGTTTTGGATGCTCCTTTGGCTTTGTCTTTTCTTTGAATGTGTTGAAGTGTATTTGAGTGTATTTGTTGTATCTTCTACATATATACATGTATATGTATACGTAGAATATACAACAGGTGTATGTGTACAAATATGCATATATACATATACATACATATATATATGTATGCTTTATTATAGTGCACATTTTGTTTGTTTATTTAGTATTCACTCTTGGTTTGCTTTTTCTTGTCCATTAGTTTTTGTTTGTTTCTTTTCTGCGATTATTCTTTGTTTCTTGATCATTTTGTTATAGGTGGCAAGTGCCCTCTTTCATCAACGCACTCTTGCAGTCTTTTGGCGTTGAGCCTCCGGCTGTCACGAAGCAAATGGCAGCGCGGCTGCAGCTGCTAGCAGCTCCTGGTGAGTGTTTGTTTGTTTTTTTGTTTGTCGACTCTTTAATAATAATGCTAACTTACGGAGAAGAAAGAGAAATGTGCATATCGATTGCTCTGCTGCTACTGGAGGGTCGTGTGGGTGTGTTTGTGTCTTTGATTATGTTTATACGCTTGCGTTATTGGTTGTATGCTGTACGCTTGTGTGTTTGCCTTTACGCCTACGTATTTAGTTTTACTTGTTTGCGTTAGTATGTTTGTGCTTGTGTTTTTTTGTCTATGTTTAAGGTTGTTTATGTCCAGGGTTTTGCGGGTTTAGGGGATGGTGTCTGCGTCTATGTTTTTTTTATGTTCGTGTGTTTGTGTGTTATTGGGTAGAGGGTTTAGGGTTTAGTTTAGGGTTTATCTGTTTGTGTGATTTTGCAGGTTTGGTGGTGAACTACCACGCTGCTAGCAAGACGGCGCTGCTGGCTTGTTTGCCTTCTTGCGCTGGTTTCCGTTCTCGGTGTCGTCAGTTGAGTGTAGGAAAAACCCAAGATGATTCTCTCTCTGCAGCTTATGGGTGGGGAGAAGAGGAGACACCGGTAGCAGCAGCAACAGCAGCGGCAGCAGCAGGCGCAGCAGCAGCAGTAGCAGAAGGTGCAGGAGCAAACGGAGCAAATAAGAACAAGGGAATCATAGATCTGGAAGTGTGCAGCGACACCGGGTGTACAGACACCCCAGACTTCGCCAAACAAAAACTCTACCCCCCGAAAATGCCCTGGAAATTTGATGGAAAACGCAAGAGACAAATGTCTCAGTAATGCATTTTCAATAAAATAAGAAAAATCAGGTTAACGCAGTTTTTCGTATGGGGATACACCGCAAAGGAAACAGCAGTAAATATTCATACAGTGGGACACAAAGAGACAAACAAACATTGAAGCAGCAGGAAACTGAAAAAACAGAAGGGAATGTTTAAAAGGTGCAGAGGGCTAGTGGCGAGACAAGCAAAACAACGGACTTCTGCATAGGAAGGCAGGTGTAGCGAACGATGATAAACACTTGTTTATTATAAGCGTATTAATAATATCTGTATTGCAAATGAATGTATTAAGACAAGGGGGAGCGGAGAATTTAAGAGAGACAAAGCAACAAACAGGCAAAAAAGCAAACAACAAATAAATTAAGGGCACAGGTAAAGGAGACAGACACAAGGCCGATAACTGCATCTCTGTATTACAAAAGTAAACAAAACTAAATCTTTAAAGAGATAGACAATAACTGAAAAGCAAGGATGCAGGTTTGACGCTCGCTAGTACACGAGCCGAACTGCAATTACTGAGATGTATGTACACTTGAATCCCTTGTAGTATAAATACTGTGCAGCATAGTATACTATAGTATAAATACAGGACAGAAATAGTAAGAGGTAGTATAATAAATTGATACAGTATAGTACAATATACTGAAACGATATTTTTAAGACAGGAGCCGAAGTAAAAAATGCATCTGCAAAATCCGTTCTGTAGATTTACTTCAAAACGGTTTGCTTGCATTTGTTGGATTTTGTTTTAATTGGCATTTTGTTTCTCTTCGTGCTGCAGAACGAAGCAGTTTTCCTCATGGAGGGCTGCTGGGTGGTGCATGCAGAAGGGGTTTTTTGTTTTTGGTGTTGTTTTGGGTTTTGGTCGGAGTCTAAAGTGAAAGACACATCAACACGCGAAAGGTTCATAGGCAGCCCTCTACTCCCACCGCGGTCTCTGTACACCTCTGGCTGTCTGTACACCCCAGACCGTCGGTACGCCTCAGACTGTCTGTACTGCTCAGACTGTCTGTACACCTCAGATTTCGCTAGCCTGTGGCCGCCTCCCTGTCGCACGCAACTCGGTACCTCCTTCTGCCCATTAGAAGAGAGGTTCAGCAGCAAATGGGTTGCCTCGCTGCTGCTGCTGCTGCTGTTACTACTGCTGTTGCTGGTGCTGCTTCCTAGCTTGCATAGGGAGGGCAGGGCGGTGGAGCTGCAGTAGCTGCTGCTCAGGGGGAAGCTGGCACTTTTAGTTGTCTCTGCCGTTTCAGGTTCTTCGGTAGATGCTTGCGACGGGGCCGCCTCAGTTTTGCAGTGTGCATACGCCTGAGCCTCAGAGCAGTCAGTTTGTTTGTTGATTAATTCGTCAGTGCAAAACGAAGAAAGAGACATCGGGGGAGCTTCCGTCACTGGAGGAGTCGACGCCACATATGCTGAAGCGCTTTCCACTTCAGGGTTGGCCAACTGTTGCCGCTCCTGCTGCTGTTGCTGCTGCTGCTGCTGCTGCTGGGAGATGAAAGAAACGCATGGTGAAGGCTTGTCTTTCAAGCAACCAAGGGTGCGTACGACGGTGCTGCGGCTTCTGAGCGGGATTGCTGTTCCCCTGTTTCTGCTGGTTTGCAGCCCGTTTCTGTTGATACTTTGGCTCGGGGCGCTTGCGGAGCTTCCTCTTTCTTGCACTGACTCCCTTTCGCGCGTGCATGTTTGGGGTGTCTGTCCACTTGGTGTTTGTTCCGTGTTTGTTTTGTCTGTTGGAGGTGAGTTGTTGTTTTGTTGTTTTCGGTGTAAGCTATCAAACAGCGGTCTAGAGCGAAGAACACCCGTTGAATTGGCCCATATTTCGTTGGCTGCTCCAAACAAATGTTGATATTTTGTTGCAGAGTCCGGAGTCGGATAAATTCGGGTGTATCCACCGAGGCGTTTCTCTTCCCATTTTGTGCGCTGCACAGCCAGCTCTGCTTTGAGTTGTTCTCGTTCTTGCATGCGACTTTGCTTGACTTCAGAAGAAGAACGCAGCGAGGAATTACGCTCCAAAATGCCCTTCTGAGAGGCGGAAAACCTGAAAAGTCAAAAGAAAATAAAGGGCGAAAAAACAACGGTGCGGCACGTGTATGAGAAGTGCTCAGTTATATGTGCGTACACCTGAAAAGGAAGGAAAATCGGTACGTATACGCACAGCACGCCTTAGTTTTTAATTCTTCTTTTTACGTGCTTTTCGCCTAGAGAATATAGTCTGGTGTGCGTGAGCTGCAGTGTCCACGCACCTCTTTCTGTTTTTACTTGAAATTCCAACAAGGCGAAGGGCGTCTCTAATCACCTCAAATTTTACCTTTTTGTCGAGCGCGCTGTCCGTTGCAAAGGAAGGAGAATGATTGACCTGAAAGACAGACATAAAAAAACGCCACCTGCATAAACGCGCATCCAGTGTGCTTGATTCATACAAAGGGAAACAGAAACCTAAACCAAATAGGTTAATTCAAATAGGGATATATCAACGCGCAAGACAACTGGAAAAGCAGGAAGACAGTAAAAGGAAGAGTGTAACGAATCAGCATACACGAAAGAGATTAACTAAAATTGCAGAGCTTGAAGAGAATTCAATCAGAGGGAACTGGACCCATACAGCTAAAAATGAACTTTCTTCTCGAGGTCACATCATGGCATTTCATAATACTATGTAAAGTTATTTTAGGTAGAACAAGCTAGTATATGTGCATATATATATATATATATATATAT